AAAAACAATAGAGTTACTAATTCTTAAGATTAACTGCATGAAACTAAAAAGACAAATAATTTAGTCACTATGTTCAATAAATAAAAAATAAAATAAATTAATGTCAAATCAGTACTTTGTATGTTGATTAAAATTATCAACTCATTAAAATAATAAATAGACAACAGATAATTTATTAAAAATGTCATATTAGCTCGTGACATGCCAATATCATGTAAGCCAGAGTCTCAAATTTTATAACAAAAGGAAGGATTAGCCAATAAATGTCATTAGCAATTAATTGAAAGTTTTTTATAATTAACATTTATAACCTCCTAATTATAATTACTTTACATATATCTTGTAAAAGTTTTTTCATATGTGCAATAATTGGGAATGAATATTTGCTCTAATAAGATGTTTTCATACTTTAAGTTAAAATTGCCAAGTCACTTAAGTCATCAAATGTAGCTGATGATGTGTAAAAAAAATTTGCCAAGTAACCTGCCACATGTCGAATTTCTGGGAGTTTAACTCTCAAATATTATATATAAAGGATTATCATTTATTTAATAATTTTATTACTATACAATTTTTGTTATTAATAACTTTTTTTGTAATTATAAAATGATTTAATTTATTATTTATTTATTTATTTTAATTTATTATATATTATTTTTTATTAACAAGGCGGAAAAATTGACGAAAGAACGGGGAGGGGTTATGATTCCTTCCCTTCTCCTCCCCTTCCCTCCAACCAAATAGACCTTGAAAATTGAAATTTGAGATCTGAAAATTAAATTTGGTTAGGGTGTTTGAAGAGTAGAATATGAAAACTAATTTTAAATGTAACTGAAATATGGAGTATATATAATTTTGAAATGCTTTTACCCTAATTAGTTAGTAAAATGTTACTCGTACTCAGTAAAATTGAATTTATATACTCCGTAGATGTCAATGGATTTAAAGTTAGGGTAATTTACGGAAATGAGACTTAAATACTCCCTCTGTTTCGTAAAATCTTTCTCCTTTTTTTTTCATTCGCCCCATAAAACACTTCTCATTTCTATTAAAAAGTCACTTTTACCCTTTATTTTTTCATACCCTACCTATCACATCATACTTTTTTACTAATAATCTACCCATTAAATCCTACTTTTACCCATCACATCAAAGGACATTTTTGGAAATTCAATACCAAAATACACTTTCTTAAATATCTTCAAAAAGCAAAACATGCCATGTTTCATGGGACGAAGGGAGTATATTACTTTTCTCTAAACAGAATTAGTCTTAATTACTCTAACGTTTGAAAATGAAAATTTTTAAAATGTTTTGCCCTTGAAAACTGACATGCACCCAAAATAATAACAATTGGATATTAATAATGTCTTCACTTAATAGGTTATTCTTTTAATATGACGTATAGTGTTTGTGTACAGAATCTAAATAAACGTCTACTAAAAAACTTCAAGTCATTATATTATAAAAAATGACTTATTACACAATTCAAGACTTGTTGCTAATTACTACATTCGTAGTGTTTTGTATAATCAATCATTATCCAAAACGTGTTGCTAATGAGGGCATATATGGCAAATTGTACAAAAATATGTCTCATAAAGAAAATAAAATATATTTAGTCTTATATGAAACAAATTTTTTCAAAAGTTCTTCATTTCTATATAAGAAAAGGTTGACCGGGATCAACCAAAACTCTTTGATCCCGATTCGATCTGGTTTGAACCGATTTGTTGCAAATACCACCGGTCCACTACCTATGGCCTGACCAATTTTGGTTATTTGGCGAAAGTGGTTTCTGATTCGAAAGTCGAACTGCCCGATCCGAACAACTTTTACAAACTATTATGTCTCTAAAGGAAGGACTTGGGAGTCAAACAAAGCTAAATGTTTGTTGAAATATTGGGATATGATGTCCGGTTCCCTTTATCCGTTTGTCAACAAAGACTGCTTTCTTATGTTCTTTTTTTTTTTCATTTCTTCCTTTATATTTTTTTTGCTGTAAAATTCATGTATGGTGCTCTATCCCTTCAAATAAAGGGCAAAGAGTGCTGGTCAAAGTTTATGATTATTTATGATCATGATATATATATATATATATATATATATATATATATATATATATATATATATGTATATATGTATGTATGTATGTATGTATGTATGTATGTATGTATGTATGTGTGTGTGTGTATGTATGTGTATGTGTGTGTGTCCAGTGGCGGACCTACAATGGTCCAAGTGGCGTCAAGTGCACCCACTAATTTTTTTTCTAATGCTAGCTACAGTAATAGTACAGTACCCGCTGCACATTCATGGACTCCTATTTTACACTTTTACAGCTCTTAATATAATTACTCCCTCAACTCCGTCCCAAAATATTTGTTACACTTGCTTTTTCAACAGTCGCGGAAACTTTTATTTATTTCTACGTTTTCATTGGTTATTTAATAAAATAAAATATTGTTGACACCTATTATTCCGAAGAACTTTCCATGTAGTTTTTTTATATGTAAATTTTATTTTTTATTTCTATATGAATATGTAAATAAAATGAATTGAAAAAACTTACTACCTCCGTCCTAGATATTTGTCCACTTTTATTTTTACACACCATCCAATACATTTCTTTAATCCATTTTATCTTGTAATTTGTATATTAAAAAATTATAGAAATTATATATTAATAATCTATATGTTAAGACAAATCAAACAAGATCACACATGACTATATTTAGGCTTACACATTGAGAGAATTTGATGAGTCAAAGTGCTTAAATGAACAGTTCCAAAAGTCAAAAGTGGACGAATATAGCAGGACGGAGGGAGTAATATTTTACCCTAGGAATACAAGTGTGGCAAATCTTTAGGAACAGTAGGAATATAAAGTATATTAGGGTGTTCACACTATTAGCTACATATACTATGGAGTATTATAGAGTATCTACTCTTTTTTTGCTGAAGGTGCTATCTTAGTTTTCAACAAAGTAGCTTTTGTTTATTTAGGTATTTAATATTCTCGTTACTTCTTGTCTTGTAGAATTTTTGACTTAATTTTTAATTTCTATACCAATCTTCAAAAAAATGAATTTTAAAAAAATTGAAATTTTGTTTCATTTTACATAAAATGTAAAATATTTTGGAACGGAAAAAATAGATATATATTATGTGTCCAACATATAAAAAATGAACCCACTCTCACAGAACTCTAGGTCCGCCACTGTGTGTGTGTATATATATGTATGTGTGTGTGTGTGTCTATATTCTGGTGTGGTGTGGCACTGTAAACCAGAATGTCGTCAAAGAAAATGATGACAAACTTCTGTATGCACGTTCAGAATAAGCTATTTTATGGTAAGGACGAACGACATGACTAGAATTCATAATGGCCAGCATGTGTCCTGAAAGTTGTCGTATAAACATTGGACTCCTGCATGCGAATTTTATGGTAACCGGACCGAAGATCCAGTTTCGTGTAGACACGAGTTGTAACACCTCAACCCGTATAACTTGGATACTTGGGTTAGCGAACCGGGTTGCTGCCCACCTGGTATCCAAACACATAATTTTTCAAAAAATATTTAAAACATCTAAATAGTTCTTATAAAAAATCCATCATCAGAGTAAAAATCCAAACAGTGCAAAAGCTTGATTTATTTTAACAAACACAACTTGGGACTCATGCCCGAAAACATAATAAATTATTTAGAAATAGTAATTAATTCCAAATCCTCAATCAAGTCAACCAACATCTCTTCCTCCTCATTTCCCTCCGAGATCGGCTCTAGGTTCATCATGTCCTTGATTATCTACGTGTAACAAACAAACAAATTAAATTACACGCTCAACAATGACGTTAAGTGAGAAATATCTAATGTCAAAGTAAACAAATAAGTAAATCCAATGTCTTGTGATATCATGCTCAATACATACATTATACAACAAGAATTCACATAATTTACCTAACACTTGCCCATTTCCATTCTCAACTAACCTGTGGATTCTTCAAGGTTGGTAGATCACCAAGAACGTGTTCCTATAATCTGTCCTAGACTAAGGACTTCTACTTTATTTTGGAGTTATGATTGTTCCCACTAGATCAGTGGGTCATACTCAATCAACGAAGGAGTTCTCTGTTGGGTGGATGGAATCCCCACCTGATGGATCACCAAGCAGTTCAAGGATACCCTTATGTATGATATTACTATCCTAATACTGAGTCAGTCCTAGAGTTCTTCTAGGTAGACTTACCTCATTTGTAGTGTTAGATCAACATGACATAACCTATACTTCGGCATGCTAGTTCAGCTCACTCTTACCATTGAGTCCAAGTAGAAAGACAGTTCAAATCATAACACACATGTTGGATCAACACAAAATAATCACAATCCTAACAAGTAGCGTCCTAGTTTTAGGTATTCACACCCAAACTTATCGTCATTCAACACAAATAGTCTCGGACTTCATCCATGACGTTTAAACATCTTGGAACAAACTGTTGTTGTCAGGCAGTAATTGGCACAGTACCTCTATACTGGAAAACGGTACCTAGGTACCGCCACCCGGTACCAGAATCTTGTGAGGAGTAGTGACAATCAACACCAAATGAGCTATGGCGGTAGCTGGATACCGTCCAGCCGCAAGGAATCCCAATTACCGATGTAGACCCTAAAAGGAGTGACAAGGAGTAAGACATTGGTCTTACTCCCTGTCACTCCTTTTAGGGTCTACATCGGGTGAATAAAATTATGAGTGCTTCCACTGTCGACAAGAACCTGTACCGCTGCCCCATTCACCGAGCCCATTACTTTTAAAGATCGCGGACTAGGGCTCCCGACTAGAGAATAGATGCTTGATATGCCAGCCATTATAAGTGTCGTTTCCTTAGGTATGTCCAAGGTATAATGGGCCACCGCACTGGGCTCCTCCTCGTCGGGTCCCATAAGAACCAAGAAGCGACATCAACATTATGGTCAGGTATCCACTTTTCATCACAATACTAACATAAGAATTTTTTATTGCGTTCCACTTTCTCCTAAACTGACACATGCACGATTAGCAAGAGGGAAGTCAAAGGATGATCGGTAGTGCAGGACAGGACTTGAGCCGGCTTTTAGGTGTACTTGGTGTAGGCAAACCTGCTATAACCGCTGGGGAAGGCCGTGGAGGCCATGGATGCTGAGCGTTTGGGGCATACACAGCTTCTGCTTCAGTGTGACATGCGGATAATTCCCGAGCCAAAGCAAAGGCGAACGGCAAAGTCGTAGGGTTACAGAGGTTCACCTTGCGTTGGATAGGTTATTTTAAACCAATGACATACATTTAAATCAAAGTCACCTTTGGAACACCAGAAACCTTGTTGAGGATGGATTCAAAGGCTGACTGATAATCCATGACGAATGCGGTCTACGTTAATTTGGATAAGAAAATGACATAATTCTTGTAGTAGTTGGGATCAAAGTGTTGTTGCACAGCCACCAAAAAGTCCACCCAATTCGCCACACAATTATTTACTTGATAATAATGGAACCATTCGGAGGCGGGGTGATCAATTAACATGGCCACAAATTGTAATCGTTTTTATTTCGAGGTGAGAAAATAGTCAAAATACTTTTGATTTTGGGTACGGGAAATCCAACCTATGGGATCGTCGCCAGAAAACCAAGAGACGTCGACGCGCATGCGAGGGACCGGATCGGTACGAGTGGACAAAGTCCATGATGGGGGCGGTCGCCAACACATGTGTGGTTTCCGACTGTGATCCTGACGGGCAGTGAACAACTCCATGACACGGAGTTTGGTAGCGTGAAAGTCCATCTGGTTATCTGTGAGGGCATGCGTGANGGGGGGGGGGGGGGGGTTCTGAGAAGAGCCCGTGAGTACGAGATGAAAGCACCAGTTGATAAGTGTGTGGCCACGAGGAAGACATATGAAGAAGGAGAAGCTCGGCTAAGATAGCCGATGAGGGAGGAGTAGGGTTTAGAGAGAAAGGAAAAGAGAGAGAATATGGGAAGAGTTATAGTATTATTTGATACCTTTGAACGAGAACATCATCTCCTTAAATAGAAGATGAGTTCCCCAATCCTACTAAAACTAGTTATCTATCCCGTCGGTTCAAAAAAAACATCGAGGTAAAGAATCGAAAAGAAAATTCTCAGAGGAGCTTTTGATCCGCTCTCATAAGAAAATCTATGTTACATAAATAATGATAAAATAATATACTCCCTGCATCCCTAAATGATTTACACCTTACGCAAAACAAAGTGAAATCCCATGTTTTTTTAATTTGTTTTATTTAAAAATTGGTATATAAATAAAACTTACATATTTAAAAAGTACATTAAAAGTTCTATAAAACAAAAGGTGACATGAATATTTTACTTCATTAAATAGTCAATGAAAATATATAAATAAATAAAAGTTTCTATGATTTTTGAATAGTGAAGTGTGTAAATCATTTCGGAAAGAGGGAATAATATTTAAACAAAGTCTCGATATCTCTGCAGTGGCCGGGTGACCCTCCTTGGGCATGCTGGCATCGCTGGTGTAGACGCCTCGTTAGCATCCTCCCGATCAACATGACCTTTATCATTTCCCTGTCACATGCACTCGGTGATTCATTATAAATGGATTTTTCGTGTCTAATGCAAACCCGATAGCTCGGAGGATCTTTATAAGGCAAGATTGGTGGCGAAAGGGTTTTTGTAATAGCCTCGTCGAGATTATTTAGAAACCTTTATCCCGGTGACAAAACGTAACATGTCGCTATTCGACAAAATCTCAAAACTCAACCAAAAGCTCAAACTTTTAGTTGTGGCACAGAAAAGGTTTTTATATTGTAACACGCCTCTCATGTGCAGGCGAGTTTTATTTTTTTGCTCGAGCCTTGCACGTGAACATTAATTTTTTTAAAAATGGGCGGCACTGAGTGTCAAACTCGTGACCTCTAGCTCAAAAATGCTTCGATATCATGTCAAGGAATCAACTCAATAAAAGCGCAAACTTGTGGCTGTGATCTAGGAAAGGTCACTACTACAAAAATTAGTAAATAGACTGCCTCAATAGCATCGGTTATTAAAACAACCGATGCAAAAGATCAAAAGCATCGGTTATTTTGAAAAAGCGATGCTATTGATATTTGTTAGAAAATAATAAAAAATTAAAGTGAGTATTAGCATCGGTTATTTAGAATAACCGATGCAATTGATCAATAGCATTGCTTATTTTATATAACCGATGCTAATACTCTTTTTTATTTTTTGATTTTTCTTAAAGTAGAGTGCTTATGCATCGGTTCTCTTCCTCAACGGAAGCGGATCCTCTTATTTTTCTTTAAGTCAATAACCAGAGACACCCTATCTATCTTCTTCTCTACGATTGTTCATTCACCATCGTCCCGCGCCGTTGTCTTTGGGCCATCGCCATTTCCGTGCTCGACAACAACGCCGTCGCCATCCCTAGTGTCAAGGCTAGTGTGCTATGATCAAATTGGTTTTTATATTCTAAGAGAGTATACTTCATATTATATTCTCTAGACCAATAATCACAAGTTTGAACTTTTATTATAATCGCTTTCTTGATATGATATTAAAATCTTGCTGACCGTTTGAACCTAACCACCTAACTTTAAAAATTAAAGTATTGATGTTCATGTTAAAAGCTCAATCAGATATATATCTCGCCTTGGCTAATAGCGTGTTCTCTCCACCGTTATTTTTCACATAGAATAACATTTGAAAAGAAATATATGCTCTCTATATAATGTTTCTATTTTTAGCTATTGTGAAGAAAAAAAATTACCCAACTCAGCCCTCTTGTCACGAGGAACTCAATTGGGTGACTTCTTGGATGATCAAACCATAGCGAAAAGACACCCAAGTTCAATTTTACTTTAATTTTGGCACATTTCACTAAAACACGAGTATTAAAGTGAGAGACAAAGTTGTTAAAACGAATAATTGGTACCAAAAGTCTTCAACATAGGTAGTTGTTGAATAAATTGATCCAAACGTAGAATGAGAATTTGAGGTGCAATCATACAACTGATAATTTGTCATCCCAATTATAAGGACGGAGCAAAAACATAAATATAAAAAAAATATTATCTCACTCCCTGAGTATTTGTCTAGTTTTGACTGTTTTCAGTCAACTATTTTCAACCTTTGACTTATAATTAAATGAAATATATATTGTGTATTAATTAGATAATACAATATTTTGAAAATATTTGATATAATAAATCTAATAAATTTATGTTTGTATCAATATCTAATATCATTTTTATTTAATTTGAAGTCAAAGTTTATCAATTTTGACCAAAAAAGTCAAATGTGGACAAATACTAAGGGACAAAAAAAAGCTTAATCAAAGAATGACCAACTGCGGTATCACTTGAGTATTATTTCGATTATGAGCCTTTTTGTGTAGAGAAATTTTTTTTATGGGGAATAAATCTTGTTGAATTAGGGATAGGCAAACGGAACTCATCCCAGACTATGAGTGAGAACCAAATTGCACGGTTTGGGATGAGATATGAATGAATCTAAAATTTCATTTTCGAAACGGGGTGGACCGGGCTGATTCTCAAAATTTAAGACTCGCCCGACCCGCACATAATTAACAGTACATACCACATATAATTTTGCAAGGTAGAAAACTTCTAATTGTCTAAAAAAGTTATAGAAAAATAAGTTCATTATTTCAAAAAAAATTGGGAAACTTTAAGAATGTAAACTTATAAAGTACTCCTTTCATTTACTAAAATCATTCATCTTTCATTTTTTTAGCTTTTACCACAAACTTTTTTTTCTCATTAAAATGACTAATATGTCCAAATAAAGTCAATGTAATATACTTCATCTATTGTGGGGGTTTGGCGGCCCAAAATGGACATGTGTGGTCCCAACTCTAAAATAAATTTTTAATTTTACATGGTTTAAAAAACGTATTAAAAACAAACAGTGCAATCATAATTTGTTTAACTTTAATGTTAATGTTTTGAAAATTATATTCTCTAATGAATAACATCTAAGGAGTATCTTTTAGTATTAGCATTTTAAATTTGTAATGTTTATATCTACTAATTAAATAATTTGATAAAACACTAACATTAATTAAAAAGAAATGTTATTCCCATATATAGTGATGTAAAATAAAAATAACTCCAAGTGATTAGCATTTATTAATAGAGTTGAATCCCACGCCGTACGTAAAAGTTGCATATTTTGAACAAGAACAAAACTTAAACTCGAGGATGATTGCCGCCCAGATCTTGAAAAACAAGTTAGAACCAATTGAGTATATAAAGGGAGGGCCATAAGCATAAATCTTTGTTATCCATCTAATCATAATGCATTTAAGCAAATAATTATGACTAATATATTTAGGCTAATAAAAGGTGCGGTGTCATTTATTAACACATGCCCACATTAGTTACTTTAACTTTGTACTTCAAGTTTGTGCAATAATTAAAGTTAATTAATTAATTAGTTAGTAGTACATGTTTGGTAGAACACACAAGCAGATAAGACTCATTAAACCCAAAACACATGATCGAGGAAATTAAACCACAATATTTAATTCAATTTTCCTTTGAGATTTTTTTTCCCAATAATAAACCCTCCCTTAATTATTCTAAAAAACCTTAAATAATGAATTATTACATACAAAAAAAATCCACAACTAAAGATTAAAAAACCAACAAAACATCCCATAGAGGTATTTGTTTCTATATACACTCTTGGCCCCGTTTGGTATCAGCATTAGAGATTGGCGTTAGCGTTTGACCTTAGCCTCTTGCATTAGCATTTTCAGAATTAATTTACACCGTTAAAATTTTGTCCAAAACGCTAACACTAATCTCTAACGTTGTTCCCAAACGGACATCCTTCTTCTCTTTGTCTATTTGGTCAACCAATTAACAAGACAGACAAATATTTGTAACAAATGGGTGTGTCATTTAATAATAATAATAATGATAATAATAATAATAACAATAATTTAAGTGGCTCCCAGTCCTAGGAAATCATAGAACTGGATTTTGTTATTGGTTTGATCTGATAATGTCTTGTTACTGTTTGCCACTGACTCTGATGATGCAGATACCTCCGAGTTTGATGACTCTGATCGGCCGCCGCCTCCTCCGCCCTCCGCCACCGCCATTCTTCTTGATGATGACCCTGCAACAAAAACAATGCAAGTTTACTAGGGAGTATTAAAGGGGAAAAACATCATTCCAACTTATAATCCCGAGTTTGAGGTTTTGGTTAAATTGATTCTTTAATATACGACGAGATTGTTACTAATTTATAGGTCACGAGTTCGGATCTTAACGTTATCAGCCATTTGAAAAAAAAAATATTCACGTGCAACTTTCGAGCAAAAATAAATCTTACTTACACCCGAGTTAAATCTTCAAAGGCTCAAGAAAAAAGATTTTATGAAGTTTTGATTAATTTCATTAGAGGCTTAAGAAAGAATTTATATATATATAGTGGAAGAGTGAATATATACCTGTAACGGACGGGAGGAGTTGAAAGTCGTCCGGCGGCGGGGGCGGATTATGACCAAATGAAGGGGAGAGGGAGATGAGATGAGTGCACGTCGACCGGGCTTCCTCCACCGGGCCGGCGGCGGCATACGCGGCGGAGGAATCATTCGCTGCGGCGGGGGTGGGGTTTTCGGGGTAGTCCCCGCCCAGGTTTCCTTGCTTCCGCCTCTTACAGCCACTAGGGCTGCTGGTGGTGCTGTCGCCGGAAACTGCGATGACTGGCGGAGGAGGCTGGCGGCGGTGGTCCCGGGCGGTGAGGACGTGCCAGTGGTTTTTGACGGCGTTATCCGTCCGGCCGGGGAAGAGGCGGGCGATCATGGCCCATTTGTTGCCGTACACTCTGTGCGCCTCCACCAGCATTTCCTCCTCCTCCTCCGTGAACGCCGCCTTGTTCAGCTTCGGGTCCAACTGGTTGAACCACCGCAATCTGCAGCTCTTCCCTGTTCAACCAAAACACAGTCAAAGAAACCAACTCAACCAAAAACTACTTACAATCATTCAGACCCAGAAAGGTTTTTATATTCTAGAAAATAATAGTTACCAGATCTTCCGTGAAGATGCCGGGCGATGAAATTCCAATTGTGTGGCCCGTGGACGGCGACGAGCTCTTTGAGCTTCGCGTCCTCGTGAGGCTTCCAATGGCTCCTGGCGCAGAAACCGGCGGCGGTGCTTCCTCCGGTGGCGGAGGAAGCACTGCCGGGGAACGATTTAGCTTCGTTTTTAGGGTCGGTATACCGGAAGTTTTCCGGATTGGTTTGAGAAATCAGCTCGAGTAGATGGTGATGAGCATGAGGAGGATGAAAATGGGTTATATTCATATTGGAATTTAGCCCAAAAGAAATCAAATTATGAGAATGAGGACTATATATGGGGAGATATATAGATACTCGGTAGAAAGGAAGATGAGCGGAAGCTGTGTCCGAACGTAATGTATCCTATTTGTATTCGTAGAGTGTTAATCCATTTTATCCATTTAGGCCTTTTTTTATAGTTCGGGCCTGTTTGGAAATAGTGTTAGCGTTTTGGATAAAATTTTAACGGTGCAGATTACTTTGAAAACGCTAAACGCTGTCCGTAGATAGCATTTTCAAAACGCTAATGCTAATCGCTAAAGTTATTCCCAAACAGGCTCTTCATCTGAATCTATATGATTTGATTGGAATAATTTTGATATGATGTTATCTTATCTGAATGTAGATATATATTTAAAATAGTTTTTTATATGGTCTGATCTGGTCTTATTTGAATTGATTCCAATAAAAATAAGTACTCCGTAATATGAATAATTTGAAGATAATATGCTCTTATCCTTATGGACATCTCATTTAGATTTTCTTAATCAAAATTTATAAACTTTGACCTTGATTTAATAAAAAAATACATTGTGTTTCTATACAAAAGTAATATACTCCCTCCGTCTCATAAAACCTTTCTCCTTTCTTTTTTCCATCCGTCCCATAAAACACTTCTCATTTCTTTTACCCCTTACTTTTTCATACCCTACCTATCGCATCATACTTTTAACTAATAATCTATCCATCAAATCCTACTTTTACCCCATCACATCAAAGGACATTTTTGAAAATTCAATACCAAAATACACTCTCTTAAATCTCTTCAAAAAACAAAACATCCCATGTTTCATGGGACGAAGGGAGTATATCATTAGCTTCTTTCTGAAACGTAATTTTAAAATATTAATTTTTTATAAAACATATTTATACATAAATATTGATATTAATGATCAAAATGTTTCATTACAAAACATGAAAAGTCAAATGAATCAATTGAATTCATGCTGAGGGAGTATAAATTTGTAAATCCAATACTAGAGTCCTTGAATTTATAATCTCGTTTTTACTTAAATTTTTTCGAATATGAACTTGAGTCCAAAACTAAAATACTTTGTAGATTTTAGATGAAATTTGTATTTGTATTTGATTTATACTTCCTCTATCTAGAAACCTCTTTCACATTTGATCTTTCATGATCTCTAATGTAACATCTGAGCATTAGTAACTTTCTTTTATTTAACAAATGCACGTCTTTATTATTACCTCCGTCCCAATATATTTGTCCAATTTAACTTTTTTAAATGAAGTTCAAAGTTTGTCCAGTTTGACTCGGAAAAGTCAAACTGGACAAATACACTGGGACGGAGGTAGTAGTAATTTAGTACTCAAAAAGCAAAGAGTTTACAACGTAACCTTAACCAAGGGCAGAAGAGATCCAAAGAGCTATAGACTAGTACTCATCGTTTGCTTCCTCTTATTCCTTTCTTCACAGTATGTAGACACTTGAAATTTGATCAAATTGAGCATTTCCTCCTCCCGGGGTTGTTTCTTGTTGGTGATTTTAGTGTCATCGACTATTTTGTATTTTTGAGTTTACTTAAATCAGATTAGAATTTAATAGACATTGTCAAACGAGTTAGAAACTGCAAAATGCGCACTACAGTAAACACACACTGACCCGCTAAAAGCATTGTCGTTGTTGTTTTTGTTGTTGTTGTTGTTGTTGTTGTTATCATTATCATTATTATTACTCTCTCCGTTCTTAAAAACACTTCCTCTTTCATTTTTTCCAATTCCAACAAAAAACTTTCCTTTTCTATTAAAAAACCACTTTTACCCTTACTTTTTCATACCATACCTATCACATCATACTTTTTCTCTAATAATCTATCCATCACATCTTACTTTTATCCATCACATCAAGGGCAAAATTGGAAATCAACTATAATTTAACACTTCATTATTTTTGCCCTAAATCAAAATGGGAAGTCTTTTTACAAAAGGAGAGTATTATTTAGGAAGTGGCTATTTATATTTTCGGGATCGCTGCTTTAGTTTCCCTTTTGCTATTCCCCCACCAGAAAAAGAAACAAAATCAATTTCTTTAATTTGGAAAGATACTAGAAAAATAAAGAAAAATATGCTCCCTCCCAATCAAAATAAATTAATCTCAACATTTTTTTCAAAAAATACTGCTTTTGCAACCTCAAAATAACGTACAGAACCGTTTGGTTTATTTTAGTGAAGTTTGCAATAAATAATACTAAAAATATATTGTCATTTCCTATAATTCCTAACATAGTACTTAAATTTTTGTCTAATAGCGAGAACAAAAAATATTTGCACTAAAAAACATTAAAACTTAAGTCATTTTTCTAAATTGCAGTTAGACTATTTTATTCCCTTAATAACACTTAATAATGTCTAGAAAGAGGAATAATGTCTAGTGATGATGAACATTTACTTGAATAATGACCAGTGGATATTGAACAATGATATTACATTGGAAATAAAAACATATGGTACTATATCGTGAAAGTCACTATGTTTTAATAATATTTAGGTAAATTCTTCTTTATTCTATTTAATGTTGTTGCACACAATTTGGCGTTTTGACTAATTACTGGAAGCTACTCTACCGGACTTTATTTCCGTTTACTTGGTTTAATTGAATTATCTTTTCTTTCGAAAGAAAAGGTACAATTTACATGTTACAAAATAATATTAAAAAATTTATGAAACAAAAAATGAAAATTTATATTATTGTATTAAATAATCGATGAAAACTTGTAAATAAATAAAAGCATTGAAATGAAAAAATAGTAACCGTGCAATTATTTTAGAAAAGGGAGTATTAAAAAGAAAGTAAATTGTGTATGAGTATATTGTTGAACAAATATGAAAGTAATATGAAATTTATTTTAGTAATAATCGTATTTCTTGATAATTAAAAGTTAATCAAGGGAGCATGTAACAATAAACTAATCATTAATTACGGAGTACTTTTTAGGAGCTTGATTTTAGTGGATTAATTTCTTTGTTCTTGTTATAGACTTATAGTTGGTGGCTCGTGGGGGTGTGAGACCCACTTTTTTGAAAATAGGGAAATTGAAAAGGTGAAAAATCCAAAATAAAAAAGTGGAATATTTAATGTGGGTAAACTCCCGTAAAATAACGCTGACACGCCAAAAGCATTTCTAATAATGGTAAGTTCATTAGGAGTCCCTTAATTTAAAAGAAAAAGTGCTAGATTCACAAATATTTTGATCACAAAATACACAAATTTACTATTTATGTATTTAAATGTCTTTTTTTTAATTATTTAACATCATTTAATTCACTTGGTGAGGTGCACAAATGGCAAATTTGTGTATTTTTGTGACTAAAGTATTTGTGACTCTAGCATTTTTCAATTTAAAAAGTTGATGAGGAGTTTAACTAGAGCTTATATGAAGTCTAGGGTCATGTTCTAATCTAATCTAAAATTATCTAAATTGTATAGTTATATTTAAAACTATTTTTATCTAATCTAATCTGATATAATTTTAATAAGAATAAGTGATGCAAAAAAATTAAGTTAAAGAAGACATGGCCTAAGAGCACTAGAAATACCCGTGAAGCCCCGGAGCTTAAAACCGGAGCTTCAAAAATTTTCTCTCCCACGTCAGCTTTATCTTACATCACAGATTCAGTAGAAATGGGTTTGAAGCCCCGTGGCTTCAAACTTTTATTTTTTACATTTTTAAGTATACATCTTCTAAAACTAAATTAATAAAATTTAATTATTTTATTATTTAATTATATTGAAAGAAGAATAATTAAAAAAAATACATTCATTAAATTTAAAAAATTGAAACAACAATAATTTAAAAAATTACATTCGTTAAATTAAAAAAAAGAAAGAGACAATAAAAAAAGATACATTAATATAAAAAACTAAGGTAAATTATATTTGGCCTTGATCTCCTTTTGTCTTCTCTCGAAAATCATCCGTTCGAAGCCCGATAACGTAGAAAGGTCGGTTTTCATGATTTTGATCTCGTCCTTCTCCTTTCGCTTCATCCTCTCTTCTTCTCGAATATTGAACACCCGAAGTTGTTCAACCATTTCCCGACCGATATCGTCGCGAGAAGAAACGGAAACATATCCGGACCCTCCAGAACCTGAGGCAATGAATTTTGCCTTCTTTCTTCCGATCGGCCGTGGAATGGGGTCCTCGTCATCGGAATCCGCAACGTTGAAGGGAGGCATTTGTTCGGACGAACCGATAGTGTCGTCCACCTCAACCTCGGCGTCGACGAAGGATCTTTTCTTTGACAATCCGTCGTCGGGATTGTTGAGTTGTTGCCACTTCGGTGAACGGCTCAAAATCCTCCAAAGATCGATGGGCACCTTGCCTTGGTGCCCGCCATCTTGATATATATCGGGTCGTGGCAAGCCAGAGAACATTGGCGTCGTTCGTCCTGCTCCTCCGGGACCCGGTGCATTCCTCGTAAACTCCAATAAACTTTCGGACTTTACGGTTGATGTCGCTCCATTTGGAAGTGAGTTGGTCCCGGGTACGATAGGAGCCGTTCTTGTTCATTGCTGTGAAGAACTTCTCCTCGATACGATCTCACATCGCATCCTTCGTTTGCTCCGAACCTTTAAAAAAGTATAACACGAAATTTTTTATAGCACAATTATATATAATTTTATATAAATAAGAACATAAATATATTAGAAAACATATACTTTTTACCAACGATAGGATGCTCGGAGATGTCAACCCAAGTCGACGCTAATAAGCACTCTTCCTCCGGCGTCCACTTTTGGATTGACCGTGCCGCCTCGGTCATCGTTCCTTTCCCTTTGTGGCTCTTCCGACGTGCACTTTTTTTGGTGCCAGATGGTCCCGGTTGAGTCTCCGGAACCGACTCTCGCTCGAAGTACCCCGATTGTTGTGTCTTGAACATTGGCGGATGATTCCCGTATTGTTGGAAATACCACATTGCGTGTTCATGAGGCTCGAGATCGTCGGGAAAGAAGCCGGAGGTGGAAGGATTCATGTTCAAAAGAGAGTTACAGAATTGGAGAATTGAAGAAGATTGAAGAAGATTGAAGGTGTGAGAATGGGGGGAGTTTGAAATTTATAAAACAAATAATTAAATTTTTCTTTTTTTTGCTTTCAATGGCTATAATAGCCGTTAGGGGGGATTACAGCGTCAAACCAATGATGCGGGTCTTGTGACGCTGCGGTGAAGCCCCAGGGGGTAGTGTTTAACGCTCCCTGGGCGTGAAAATGACAATAACGCCGGTCGGCGTTACGGGTATAACACTGCTCTAAGTGGACCATAGATTACTTAATTTTTGAGAAGACTTATTTGGGAAAACAACAACAATTCCTTAATTAAGAACTTGCCCTAAACAACACCCACTAAAGGTGCTCTAAAACCTTTCATTTACTATTGGTTTTTCTACCTTTTACTATACTTCGTACAAACAAAACAAGTTTTAAGTTTTTTACTCACTGTCCAAATTTAAATCGCTTACTTCGATTTACGATATTTGACTGAAACTATTTTCAAATCATTTTATATGAAAAATAGTGTAAAATTAAAAAAAAGTTACATATTTAAAAACTAGATAAAAAAATCTACAAAACTAGGGTTACATGACTAAATTATTTTATCAAATAACTAATGACAATATAAAAAAAAGTAAATAATTGACCTTGTCAATAGTAAACATGCAATTTAATTTGGAACATAGAGAGTAATTCATATATTTAAATATTGGTATAAAAATCAATAATAAAATTTACATATTTAAAAATTACATTAAAAGTTTTATAAAATAAGAGGAGACAGGAATATTTTATTTTATCAAATAATTAAAGAAAACACACGAATAAATAGAAATTCCAATGAGTTTTGAATAATGAAGTGTGACATTCTTTTTGGAACGGAAAAAGTATTTAACTTTGTAAAATGAAAATGAGATGGCATAATTACATTATTTTATCAAATGAGTGAATGACTAAGAAAAATAGGTTAAGAGATAGATTAAAATTTAGTTTTGTGAATAATAACAGGAAAGAAAATTTTAGGTATGAAGAAGTAGCAATTTAAGTTCGTTATTTTTGTGTGTGATATTGTTCATATTTTTAATTAAAGATCATCATTAAAGTACGACTAACCTTACTGACATGATTATTCCTTCCCGCGATCCCTGCCAAGCTGATCCGCTTAGTCCTTATCTTCTCATTGTATGTGCAGAAAGGCAGGGTCTAGTGTAATACCCCGTATTAAGATGGGAATGTGAAGCACTCAAAAGGATTGATAATACTACTCATACCAACAAGAAACATCTTCTTTTTGAGAGCTAATCACCTAGAAACTCCAAAGTTAAGCGTGCTTGACTTGGAGCAATTTTAGGATGAGTGACCCCCTGGGAAATTCCTTGAGCGCGCGCACGAGTGAGGACAAAGTGCGCGGGAAAGACTTGTGTTGGTTTGTGGGGCCAGTCTGCAATCCTATGAGCGGACACTTTACGGTCAGGGTGGGGGCCGGGGTGTTACAATTGGTATCAGAGCAACCCTATGAGTGGACACTTACAGCCAGGGTGGGTGCCGGGGTGTTACAATTGGTATCAAAGCAACCCTGCGTCCGTGACGGGCCAAAGTGCTTAGTTAACATAGTGGAGAAGATCTAGGGGTTTAAAAAAAGGAAAGAAAGTTTTAGGTTTGAAGGGTAGCAATTTAAGTTCGTTATTTTTGTGTGTGATACTATTCATATTTTTATTTAAAGATCATCATTAAAGTGCGACTAACTTTACTGACATGATTATTCCTTCCCGCGATCCCTGCCAAGGTGATCCGTTTAGTCCTTATCTTCTCATTTTATGTGCAGAAGGGCTTTCCTTCATATTGCAGAATGTTGAAAGGCAGGGTCTAGTGCATGGTATACAAGTAGCACGAGGTGCTCCCTCCAAAATCATCTTTTATTTGCAGATGATAGTCTTTTCTTTATGCAGGCCACTGTGGAAGAAGAGGGAGAGGTGCTCTCGATCTTATCAGAATATGAACGACTGTCTTGTCACGCGATCAATTTGAGCAAGTCGAGTATTTGTTTCAGTTTGAATACTTTACCTGATATCCGTACTTGGTTCACCAAATTTTTAGGAGTTGTTCAAGCAGAGGACTTTGAGAAATACATGGGTGCCTTTTGTTCTGGGGTGCAACAAGGTGGAGGTAGCTTTTTCCTGGACAAGATTCATCAACGTTTGTATTTGTGGAAAACAAAGACCCTATCTAAATCAGGTAGGGAAATTCTCCTCAAGATAGCTGTCCAAGTCATGCCTCCTATGAGTGTTTTTCTTCTTCCTCCATCTATATGCTCTGCTGTTGAAAAATTGATGGATGCTTTCTGGTGGGGTAGTTTCGGTGGCAATGAGGCACTCATTGGATGTCTTGGGAGCAGATGGCATTTCCTAAAAAGTTTGGAGGATTGGGCTTTCGTGATATTCGTGCCTTTAATGCGGCCATGTTGGGCAAACAGGGGTGACAGTTCCTCACAAACCCGAACTCTCTTGTCTCGAGGGTGTTCAAGGCTAGATATTTTCCCACTTCGACTCTTCTGACCAGTTCAGGACTGGAACCAAAACTGCACCAGGAATGAGGCCTACAATCTATTTTAAAAAAAACTATGTGCACACCAATTTGCATGTACCATAAAAAGAGCAGGTACCAAGTACCAAACAACTCTTGTGCAAATAATTTACTGACCAACCCAATGGGCCTTGTTACAGAAGACCCAAATTCCATTGAACTTTTTACAGATGGATAGCAAGGCACACAGCAATGACAATAATAACAGTATTTTTTAGCGAACGATAATAATAGTAATACTAACAATTATAATAATAATAATAATAATAATAATAATAATAATAACAAAATCCCACCCATTTAAAGTTTAGACAAAGTAAATGGTACAAGAATGGCATCCAATGATATCATTTCATATACTTCTGAAGAAACTTGCGATGGAAGTCGTTTCGAATCGTGTCATTGATGAAACGCTTTGGAGTTTTTGTTTCTCCTCTGGCCTGGTTCTTGAAGACCACATCATCATCCCACCTAAGTAAAAGAACAGATCATCATTACAAAGGATTAATAAAAAAAATTAAAGCGCAATTAAACATAAGTACAAGAGTATCAACCTCCTCTTCACATTAAATGATGTTGGCTGGTTTATGAGTGGATTTCCTTTTAACAGTTCAGCTTCTTTTGCTTTGAGATCTGCTTCTTGTTGTTGTCGTTCCTGCAAGAAGTACCAACACGTTAATAATAACTAAAGAAAAATTCAGTGGTTCACGCTATTTCACAGAACCAAATATAAGTGCAACTCGGGCTTCGGAGTCTCATATTGCAAACTTAATAAGTTAAAAAAAACTTGTTAAAACTTGTATAAGTGTCAATATGAAGTTGTGTCGGTTGTGTTACTAGGCTAACGGGCGCACTTTAATTATTCTCTTTACACTTTGACCAGACATTCACTCTAGTGAAAACAGGTCAAGGACACATCCTAGGCACTAGCTAACAGTCCTCCACATCAATTTTCTTGTAATCTGCACTATGAGCAGTTGATCAGGCAGGCAGACTGGTAAAAATGGCTATGCAGCGAACTAGGTTGGACCTTCTCCACCACCATCAAAAAGACCATAATGAAAACAATGAACAATTAACATAACAAAGGATTAAAAAATTACTTTACGAATTTTTTCATCTGCTCTTTCTTTTCTTATCTGACAGAGCTCAGCCATGAGAGCTTCCTCATCATCATCGTCATCGTCGTCGTCGTCATCCGAACTGATCATGGGGAACAGTAGATATTTTAGGAAATTTTTTTACACGATTTTAAATGCATGAAGGAATAATAAAATGCATGAAAGAGTGTGAAGGGTCAAAAAACTCATGCATGAAATTGTTTTGGATTTATTTTTGTTGTTAACAGAAGATGTGAAGAGAGATTTGAAATTATACCCCCTCCGTCCCATAAAATCTTCTCATTTTTCTTTTTTGCTTGTCCCAAAAAAAACTTTCTTTTTAATGTAAAGAATGTGTGGTTAAGAAAATTTTTCTACTCTTAACCATCTAACCACACCTTTTTTTCATTTTCCGACACTCCTCTCAAACTCCGTAAAAGACAAGTGAGAGGTATTTTATGGGACGAAGGGAGTATAATTGGGTCTGCGAACAGTTTCAGCTATCATTTAGCAGTCCAATAAAGAAGAAAATTTCTCACATCCAAATCAATTGACTATGATGATCCATGGTAAAAGATAACATGATATCGGAGAAATGGTCTTTATGCCACAAGCTAGAGTTTACAAGTCCAAGTTGCTCAGTGTTGTGGAAATAAGTGGAATGCATGTCAGGAGACAATGATAATAATAAAAAAACAGCATCATCATATTTACCTATCGCCATCACTGTTCACATCAACATCAGCATCATCAGCATCAGCACTGCGTGGAACAATTCGATCTTCGGTTTCTCTTTTAGAACCTGTTTGCATCATATCGCAATTTGAGAAACAGAAATTCAAAGGTCTCAATCACAAACACACTTGTAACACAAACTAACATCACTAACCTTCTAAAAGGAGATAATTA